ACCCATCATATCACTATTCAAAAATCAATATTTCTACTAAAAATCAATATGACTATTCAAAAATCAATTTTTCTCCTAAAAATCCCTACCAAACACACTCTAAATTAATTTTTCTGATCAACTAACGGACATCCATCCATATGTCCTTTTATGGGAAAGAAATGTTTGGGACTATGGTTGCAACAAACAAAATATCAAGATAGAAGGTGCAAAATTTTGAAAACTTTGAAACCATGACTACCATTATCCCTAAATTAATTAATGTTTTAATAGCTAACAATAAACCTGTGATTTTATACCCACCTCAACTTAGGGTTGTAAACAAAAATCGTTAAATTGGAAAATCAACTAGAAATCGCATTTTAGAAATCATCGATTTGGTGCCACGTGGACCCATCAACGAAATGATTTTGAAACAGTTTGGTTTGAGTTTGAGAATTTTAATTGAAATTTAAAACCAAATCAGATCGGTGAAAAAATATATAAAAATAAAAAAATGAAAATTTTTGAAAAATCCAAATATGTAAAATTCAATAGTTTTGTTATGTGTAAGTATTTTTGTCAATTTCTAATTTTCTATTATATATTATTATTATCCAATAATCCTAATTTATATCTAATAATCTCAAGACTAGCCAATATATCAAAAGTCCTTTTCCTCTTCAGTATTCAGATGAATTTCAGCAGACACCCGACATAGCATTGAGCCACCAGCACCACACCAAATCAAAGACAAAGAAACCCTGTGGTTTCTGTATAATATTTGCTACGAATGAAGTTTCAGATCAATAATTTTTTTGAACAAACTGAGGTAAGAAATTTGAAATTATATGAATTTCGCATTTTTCTCAACTATTGGATGATTGTGAAATAAATTTATTTACTTTGATGGAAATTGTTTATCTACTATGTACATGATTATATTATATTTGTGTGGACATACTCTTGTTTTGTGACTGAATTAAGCATGTAAAATATGTCAATAGAAGCTAAAAGTGTTCATGTGCAATTTGATATGTGGATGAACTGTTTAATAAGTTAAAAGAAACCAACAATGACTCCAGTGGCAACTATACTTGCATCAATTTAATTGTTGT